CTCTCTCTCCTCCCGTGCAGTCTGGGCAGACCTGCCGCTCTCCCTGGGCTGTATCTTTAGTGCTGGCCTCTATAGTGCATTCTTCTGGGGAAAGTGTCGAGGTAGCTGGGACTGGAGCCGGACCGCAGACATTTCTGTTAGTTCACTGCTTCATGCCAGTCTGCTGCCCTTGAGGCTTGGTGCCCCAGGTTGAGGTCTGGTCCCTTTCTTGCTTTCCCATGGAGACATTAACAATACCCTCTCCCTGTGTGGGTTAGTGCCCTATGTCCCCACTATCCATGTTCTCTCTCTCTCCTCCCCCTTCCCTTTTCCCCTCCTTTTCAGTTGGCTGTCATATGCAGCCCTGGGTTGGATCCGACCCCTGCTAGAGTGCCTGGACCTCGCTCCAGGAATTTATGCACTCGGTGTCTTTTCCCCTATGCCCCCTGTGCTTTTTAAGCTTACCTCAGTGGATTCATGTTATACTTGTCCTTTTGTGATTGACTTACTTCACTTAGCATAATTTCCTCTAACTCTTCCCATGCGTCGATGTGTTTCATGTGTTCTCTGCTGCTTTTTTAAAAAATTATTTTATTGGGGGCTCATACAATTCTTATCACAATCCATACATAGATCCATTGTGTCAAGCACATACGTACATTTGTTGCCCTCATCATTCTCAAAACACTTGCCTTCTATCTTTGCTCCTTTTTACATACAATGCATAGTACTCCATTGTACGTATATACCAGCGTTTTTTAATCCATTGGTCGGTTGATGAAAATTTAGGCTGTTTCCAATTCTTTGCAATTGTGAATTATGCTACAATGAATATTGGAGCGCAGATGTGTGGTCATGGACTGTCTCTTATGTCTTCTGGGTATATACCCAGTAGGGGGATTGCTGGGTCATATGTTAGCTCAATTTCCATTTGTTTTAGGTAGTGCCATATCGATTTCCATAATGGCTGCAAATACCTACAGAACCACCAGTGGATGAGCGTTCCTATCTCACCACATCCCCTCCAACACTTGTTGCTTTCTGTTTTTTTGCATTGGACTATCATTGAGGGAGTTAGGTGGTATCTCATAGTTGTTTTCATTTGCATTTCCCATATGGCTAATGATCAGGAATATTTTCTCATAAGTTTGTTGGTCATTTGGATGTTTGCTCTTGTAAAACTTCTGTCCAGGTCTTTTGCCCATCTCCTCAATTAGTTATTTATTTATTATTACTGTAAGCTAGCAGAGTGTTGTAGATTTTAGTAATAAGGTCTTTGTCTGATGTGTCATTGTTAAAGATGTTTTCCCAATATTAGGGCTCTCTTATTACTCTCTTGGTGAATTATTTCAGTGTACACAGGTGTTTTATCTTAGTATATCCCATTTGACAATTTGTGCTTCCTCTGTTTGTGTCCTTCTGTTTGCCAATAGCCTATGTATTTCCTGTGCCCAACTTTTTAGGTTTGTCCCAATTGATAGCCTTAATGGTTTGGGGGTATACCTCAAAGTTTGTGATCCACCTTGAATTTATTCTTGTGCATGGAGTAAGATAAGGGTCTTGCTTCAATTTTTTGCCTATAGATAATCAATTTTTTTCCAGCACCACTTGTTGAAGAGTGCATCCGCTTCCCATTTGATACTTTGGGGCCCTTATCTTTATGCTGATGATTTCACTTCTGGGTTTTTAGTTCCTTTCCACTGGTCTGAATATCTGTCATTATACCAGTACCACGCTGTCTTGACCACTGTGGCTGTATAGTAGGTGCCAAAGTCAGGTAGAGCAAGCCCTCTGACTTTGTCCTTCTTGAGGTGCTCTCTACTGAATTCTGGGATTTTTCCCTCTCCATATGAAGTTGGTAGTCAATTTTTCCAATTCTGTGAAGAAAGACGTTGGTATTTGTATCAGGATAGCATTAAACTTGTACAGTGCTTTGGGCAGGACTGACATTTTAACTATCTTAAGTCTTCCAATCCATGAGCATGGGATATCCTTCCATTTATAGAGTTCATTCTTGGTTTCTTGTAATAGTGTTCTGTCGTTCTCCTCGTACAAATCTTTTGGGGTTTTGGTTAGGTATATCCCTAGATATTTCACTTTGTGCTTGGCTATTGTGAAAGGTACTACCTTTTTGATCTCCTCTTCCATGGACTCGTCCAATACATATAGCAGTCCAATAGACTTCTGTTTGTTGATATTGTATCCTGCCATATTCCTCTATTGCTTCCAGTATTCCCCATGTGGAGCTTTTGGGATTTTCCATATATAAAATCATATCATCTGCAAATATCAATAATTTCACCACTTCTTCCCCCAGACAAATACCTTTGATGTCATTCCTTTGCCTTAGGTTCTTAGCTAGGACCTCCAATACAATGCTAAATAGAAGTGGGGACAAGGGGCATCTTATCTGGTCCCTTTTTTTCAGTGGGATTGTTTTCGTCTTTTCCCCATTGGCTATTGGCTATTCATAGATAGCTTGCATTATATTGAGGAATTTTCCTTCCATTCCTATCTTCTTGAGTGTATTAAACAGGAATTGGTGTTGGCTGTTGCCTAATGCTTTTTATGCATCTATTGATATTATCATGTGGTTACTTTATCCTTATCAATGTGCCGAATAATGCTGATGGGCTTTCAGATATTGAACCATCCCTGAATCCCTGGAATGAATCCCACTTGGTCATGGTGAATTATTTGTTTTATAAACTTTTTTATTCTATTGGCCATTTTGTTAAGGATTTTTACATCAATGTTCATTAGAGATATCAGTCTGTAGTTCTCAATTCTTGTGGGATCCTTGTCCCCTTTAGTTATCAGTGTTATGCTGGCTAGAAAGAGTTTTGGAGTTTGCCATCTTCTTCTATGCTCTCAAAGAGTTTGTGTAGGATTGGGGTCAGATCTTCCCTAAATGCTTGGTAGAATTCTCCTGTGAAGCCCTCTGGCCTGGGGGATTTTTTTTAGTTGATATTGCCTTGATAACCTTGTCTATTTTCGTTATTGCTATTGGTCTGTTGAGTTGCTTGACGTCCATCTAGGATAGACTAGGGTTTCCAAGTATTTGTCCGTGTCTCCCAAGTTGTTGAATTCATTGGAGTACAGGCCTGCGTACTGTATAATAAGCCTTTTAATTTCATTAGGGTCCATTGTAATTTCTCCTGTTTCGTCCCTTATCCTCACTATTGATATTTGTTCTTTTCTTTCTTTGGTTAGGTTTGCTAGTGGTCTAAAAATACTGTTAATCCATTCAAAGAACCAGCTTTTTTGCTGCATGACTTTTTGCATTCTTTTCTAGTTTTCCCACTCATTTATTTCTGCCCTAATTTTTATTATTTCTTTTCTTTTGCTATTCATGGGATTGCCCTGTTGAATCCACTCTAATTGCTGGAGGTTTTGTGTCAACGCATCAATTATAAGTCTCTCCTCCTTTTTCATGTGTGCGTTTATCATCATCAGCAAGCTTCCTCGGGTAGCTGCCTTTGCTGTATCCCACAGGTTTGGGTCCATTATGTCCTCATTCGCATTGGTCTCTAGAAACTTCCTGATTTCATCTCTGATCTGGGTCAATACCCACTCATTTTGCAGTAGAGAGTATTCGTCCTCCAATTGTTTGCCCTTGTTTTATTAATCCTACTTTTGTTGATTTCCAGCCTTAAGACATACTGGTCTGATAGGCAAGTCTGAGTGACTTCTATGTACTTGAATTTACATAGGCTCTATTTGTGTACCAGCATGTGGTCTATCTTCAAATATGTGCCATGTGGGCTTGAAAAAAAATGTGAATATTTTTGCATTTTGTTGGAGAGCTCTGAAAATATCTATCAGGTCAAGCTGCCTAATTGTAGAGGTTAGTTCTGTAGCTTCCTTGTTGAGCTTCTTTAACTGTGATCTGTCTTTCTCAGAGAACAGTGTATTAAAGTTATCTACTATGATTGTTGAGCCTGTGATTTATGTTTTCATCTTTTATAGTGTTTGAATGACAGATTTTGCAGGTCTCTTGTGTGTGTACATGTTTATTATCCTCACTGGTTCTTGGTCTACTGATCCCTTGGAAATTCTCTTCATTTTCAATACATTTTTTTGTCCATGTTTAAGTGGAAAAGGAAACTCTTCTCCTGTTCTAAGTAAATTATCCCAAGGTTAATTGATATTCAATCCTTAATTCACATATTCCAAAAAAGTGGCATGTTATGATAATTTTGAAAACTTTACCTTTCTTTTTACCGATCCATCCACTTTCCAAATTTATTTTTTCTTGTGCTATTTCTAACCAGGCTTTGGGTAGTCTTTGAGGTTTTACTTCCCCTTTATAAACTTCTAAAATCCAGAAAGCACGCCAATCCAAAGCTTATATATAATTTTGATATCTAATATATATATATATATATATATATATATATATATATATATCCAACTGAGAAATAAAACTAAAATTGATCTTAACTAATTTTGCAGCAAAACTTCTCTGGATCTGACACATGGCTATTTGTAGTTTCTCTTCATTTCACTTAGTATGAAAATTGTTATGTTCCACTGCAGAAATATTATATATTCAACATGCTGCCCCATTCACGTATGGATGTTATAGACAAAAGAAATACATGCTTCAAAATGGTGGAAACATGATTAAATCGAGAAAATAAGTACATCTGACCAAAAGTTTTCCATTGTTCAGAGACTTAACCAAGAATAAGAACATGAATGAAGAAATGGCATATCCACAAGCACATACTCTTACCTAAAGAAGGTCTTGACTAAATTTCCTGTATAAAAGCTACATGCTTTTGTCATCAATTCTGGAGTCATCTGAAAATGAATAATAAATGAAATAACAAACGTGAGGCATAAGTGAGATGCACACGGTGACTCCAAATGAAACTCACGTAAATAAGAAGCTATTTCCTCAGGGGAGGGGAACTGGAATGGATGAGAACCAGGAACAGATGGGCAGGAAGGATTAGATACTGTTTAAGTTTTGGGTTTTGGGGTTTTGTTGTTTTTTAATCAGTGGCAAGAAAAGATTTGAAAAAGAAGAAGTTGTGAAATCCTAATAAACATTGGCTACATCACAACCAAATATAATATCTGGGCCCTGTTTAGCTTTTGACTCAATCCAAGTCTTAAATAAAAGGGCATCTTGGGGATGATTGGAGAAATCTGAGCAGATATCAGGTGATATTCAAACACTATTGCTAATTATGTTATCTAAGAAAATGATATTTTAAAAATTATCAGAATTTGAGATGCACACTGAAGCATTTCCAGGTAAAATAGCACAATGGCTAGGATTAGTTTGCTAACAGTCTGGTAAAAAAAATGATGGAGAGAAAAATAGGTGAGCAAGATTAGCAAACTAAATTATTGTAAAAGTTAGATGATGGCAGCAAATGACTATAGAAATCTCTTCACTTTGGGGTGGTTTGAATTGTTCCATCATAAAATATTTTTTAATGTTGTACTTGCCTTTTCTTCTCGTAATTAATAGGTTCATCTGGAAATGCCATTTCCTAATAGATGAGAATCAAGTCTGTGGAGTGGAGTACCGCCCCATGGACAGCTAATCCTTTCATGTTGGAGCATAAGCAGTCTTACTACCTCCTGTTGTGAGGGCAGTTCCTACTTTTCTGGACCTGTATGGCTTACTCAGTGTTTCCTGTGCTTCTCCTTCCCTGCTTCCACAAATAGAAACAAGTACATATTTCTATTTTATAAGTAGACCTCTGCAGGCAGTCCTCACTTTGTATGGCAGTCAGTATTATAAAAATGGTCATGCAAACTGCAACCATTAAAAGCAGTCTTTAATAATCAACAGGGGGAATGACAGTGGTTCTGGAACTCTCCTACTGGCGGTTATAACCCTACAGAAATATGGAGACGGGGGCGGGGGGGAAGTAAGGCTATTATTCATTTAGTTGTGTGTCACTTAAAATTTTAGAAAATTGAGACGTTTTATTTCTTCACAAATAACATTTTTCTCTGAGGATAAATCCCACTGCCACTGAGTCAATTCCAACTCACAGTGATCCTATAGGACAGAGTAGAACTATCCCTGTGATTTTCTGAGACTTTAAACTTTATGGGAGGAGACAGCCTCATCTGTTTCTCAAAGAGCAGATGGTAGGTTGAAACTGAGAACCTTGCAATTAGTAGTTCGAGGTATAATTCACCTGAGGGCAAGGGAGAAATCCATTAAACTAGGTCCAACCAAACTGGGTGTCGGTGAAGAATTCTGAAAGTACGAGGGAATGCCAGAAGAACAAACCACAGCCACATGCCATGATGCAGATCAAGTCAAAATCTGTCTCGGAAGAAGGGCAGCCAGTGTCATCCTTAGGAGGTAGGAGGCGAGACTTCATCTCACGTGCTGTGGACATCTTATTGGGACAGACAAATCCCTGGGGCGAAAATCATGTCTAGTAAAGTAGAAGGGCAATGAAAAAGAGGAAGGCCCTTGATGAGATGGCTTGACACAGAAGTTGCGACAGTGGGCTCAGACATCACAGCAATTGTGAGCATTGTACAGGATCAGGAAGTGGTTCACTCTGTCACTAAGATTTGGAACCAACTTGACAGCCCCTAAAAACCACCCCCACCACTACCTAAGCTGCACCCTCAAACTAAGCAACCATAGAGTACTCCTTGTTGCTTTTGAGCAATCCTATTTCGTTTCTATTCATTTGATTTCGTTTCTATTTCATGTCCTAACTTATGACACAGGGTAGACATCTTATCAATGCCTTGCAAGTTGTCATATTCCTTTGTAGGTTTGGGTGAGCTCCCAACATCTTTCCCCTGTCCTTTCAATGTTGTGAGATATGTTTGAGATTTTATTCTCTTAAAACAAACAAACAAACAAAAACACTTAGGCTTGACCTGGCTATGAAATCTCTTAGAAATTCCATGCAAGGCTTTGGAGACAACCTGACATTATATTTTACAAAATTTCATTTAAAATGTTGACAGTGAAGTTTATCCCTCTATATCAATGACTTTTAAAACTTTCAGTATCTTCACTAATGGTTTTAGATTTTTTTCCCCCCACGTGAAGTCTCACTCAAAGAACTAGTCTAGAGGATAGGTCTTAGGAAGAAGAATCCAGAGTCCCATTCCCTAGGACTTTGCCTGAGCTCCTGAAGTTGCCCCAAGTATCTCCAGGAACACTCTTGTGGTAGATCAATGATCTGGAGTTGGTCAAGTATGGCTGTTAAGACAGCCACATGCCATGATGCAGATCAAATAAAATATTCAACATGAGAAGACTTCCCAGTGTACTGACCATGCCAGGCTTGACAACCTAGCCCACTGTTTCTCTCGGCTGCGCAGCCCTCATTAGGACCAGTGTTACTCTTCATTCATCCTTCTAAATAGATGCTTCAAATTGTTTGGAGCTCCTTGTTCGCATCTTTTGACAATGGCTTTGATTCTCCTTTTCTAACATCCAACCTCACTAGCAATTCCCAAGCACTAGAGGCTTGCACAAACACCAGCCGTGGGATCTGGCATTAACACTCAGCATTCCAGCTGCACCTAATTCATATGGACACTTATTTCCTCACATATCTTCACTCCCCTCATGGTTTTGCTATTTAATCTTCTCCTGGGCACGCAGAGAGGAAACCTGTGGCTTATCGGGTTAAATGTTGGGTGGCTACCTGCAAAGTAAGCAGTTTGAAACCACCAGCTACTTCTCAGGAAAAAAGATGAGGCTTTCTATGGCTGTAAAGATATGGTATATCATCTTGGAAACCCACGGGGTTACTTCTACTCTGTCCTAGAGGGTTGCTAAGAATTTGAGTTGATGGACTCAGTGGCACTGAGTGTCGTTTGGGGATCTACAGTCTCCGTCTTAAAGGTCTTCCGATCTTGAACCACTACTTTGTCCTGTGGAAGGCGTCCTGGTGGGGGTTAGTAAGCCTTGGACTGCTAGCCACTAAGGGTCTTCAAGCACACCAGCAGGGAGAAAGATGAGACTAGCTGTTCCTTGAAACACTGTGGGGCAATTCTTCTCTATCTTATCAGATTTCTCCAAGTCAGAGTCAACTTGATGGCAGTGGGTTTGGTTTGGGGATTGTCCTCTTTACAGGATCAAAACCTGATGGTGCAGTCAGGTGCTCCTTTCAGTAACAATAAGGTCTTGATTTCAAGTTATATATCATTAATGTTCTGACATGGTCCTCGGGAATATGAGTCTCTATATCCTACACTCAGTGGGGGGTGGGGGGGTGAAGACAGAAGGATTAGAGGGGAGGTAAAACACAGAAGGAAAGCAATTTAAGAAGAACGCTCCTTTAAAGTGTTTCTTAATGACAGTTCCATCATTATAAAGATGCATGAGATGAGAGGAGGAAAAGAAGAAAGAAAAGAGGGAAAGGAGAGGTTTAACGAGCGATTTCATCAGAAAGGAAGCACAAACACATGTCCAGACGCCACTTGCAAAACTGGAGAGGTAACGAGACAGAGAGAGAGAGAGAGAGAGAGAGAGAGAAAATGTGTGTGGGGGGGGGGGGGGGGGTCCTTAATAGTCTGATATCACAGACTCCTGTAAATCCCAAAACTTTCACACTTTCATCAAAGCCTTGGTTACTAATACTGACCAGCTGATCATCCAGTCCAAAGAGCTGTTCCAAGTAAGTTTCAGACAATCTTCGAATTGATGGTTTCACTGCCGGGTCAATGCACATATCCCTTTAATAAAACCAAAAGATACCCTCAAAAATTCATTTAATCTCCTGGGATTTCATTCCACAGTGGCTTTCTCCTTAAGAGTCTCTTCCAGTGATTCTGGTGGGTGGAATGTAAGGGAGAGGAGAGAAGATACAGGCCCCTTTGAAGAAGGATTTCAGGATCACCAGGAGGACTTGCTCAAACTGTTCCCCAACATTTGTCTATGCTCCCCCAAGAAAAGTGCGCTAATTTTCCTTGCTTCCCACTTGAAACAAATGGCCCATGAATGCATGTCACTTTTGAGGGTATACTACATTTCTCAAGCTGAGAACCAGTGCACGAATGCATGCCTGTGGGGCTTAAAAGCTTAGAGGGAGATTTAGCCTTCCATGGCCTCACTAAAAAATGACTGATAATGTTTGGGTGGACTTCCAGACCCCTGCCCCCAAATCTCTTTTGTATGTTGAGATTGCAATCTGCTCCTTTAATCCAGTTTCTTTTCATTTTACATAAGCACTCATCATGTACTGAAGAAATCTTTAATAACATTGTTTGGAAGGCTTTCAGAACATCCACTTGGTGGATAGTCCCCCTGAAGTTTTTAGCCAGTTGCCAATTCATGCATCTTTGTATCAATTCCTTCTTTTTAACAATAAACATGTTATCGCTGTGATTTTTAAAAAAGCCTACGGGGGCCTTTTTAAAACAATTTATGATTAGAGGTATTTATTGGCAAAACTTCATTTTGTGATATACAATGCTATACACTGAATGCTTTTTATCTTCCGATGAAGTTTACCTAACATGAATCAGAACTTTACATACCAAAAAAGTCTTTCAAGTCCACTTTCCATTATATGCTTGATCATTACTTCTAAATAGTCTAGTGGATCCTCGGGACAAGAAACAAGCAGACCACACAACAGCGCCTTCGGAGAAAAATAAGAATGGAATAAATGCTTCTGAATTTGTTTGTTCCTAGTAAGCAGCAGATGGCCCTCCCTTCATACAATTAAAAAGTCAACTAACGTCACAGCTTCAAAGTAAGCATATTTTAGAGCTACTCCTCTGTATTTATTTCCCCCTGAATAGTTTGCTAAAATCAAATCAAAATGCAGTTTACCTTTCCCCTTAAACAAATATTGATCCATCATAAATGATGTTGCCAAGAAAGTGACTGGACAGTGTTCTAAACAAATTAATAGTTCATTTGAAAACATAGTTGGGATGCTTTTGATCACTGCAGTTTCCACCTTTTTAAAATACAAGAGACTCTCTTCTCCTGGATCTAGGAGGTTTTCACTGCAGAGACACCCCCACCCTGCCACCCTGCCCAGTCCAAAGGACACCCACCACTCCTGCTTTTCTTCCTTCGTGGTGGTGAGATCCTCATCTGCTCTGGGATTGACTTTCTCTGAAGATTACTGGGATGGTGAAATTTCCCAATTCCTCTTATTTGAATGGTCTTACCACCACAAGGCTGCCACGCACCTTATTTGTGTTATTAGCAAGTTGCCCAATCCCCTTGGTGGGCCACAGTATCTTATTTGCATAGTCCCACCCATGCATTCTGTGGCCGTTACAGGATCATGGCAAGACAGGCCATATAAAACTGATTCATCGCACTTTGAATGCCTACTCTCTCTTGCTTACTTATCTGAAATTCACCTCAAATCCTAATTCTTCTTTAAACTGTTTCTGACACTCAATCATCATTTATCTGTCTAGCCAGTCTCTCCACAGTCTTCCCCTGAATCACTGATTACATGTAGACTTACAGCCTACCTATTTCTGCCAAGCTTTTGGGATCATTCTCCTAGTCTTGGGGCTTGCTGAGACCACTATCAAGACCTTCAACACCATCTCTGTCTCCACAGTCCATTGATAAATTCAGAGTATGTTGAACAAACATTAACGGAGTGCCAACGAATGCAACTCTGTGCTAGCACCTGGAAACACAGCAAACACGTACAGCTGGACAATATACAAGATAAATAACTCAGACAGTACACAGTAAAGCACAACGATGAGAAGAGAGGTAGGAAGGGGAGTAGGTCATTTGTATAGGTTGGGTGGTCTGGCAAGACCTCTCAATAGAAGTGGCCCACAAGTCTCACCCTCAAAGAGAAAGTGGATGATTGTGTTAGTCCAGGTAGACTAGAGAGACAAATTCATAGTCACTCATGTGTATAAGAGAGAACTTTATATACAAGAGCAGTTGAATATTGAGAAAACATCCCAACCCAGTCCAGATCAAGTCCATAAGTCCAATATTAGCCCATATGTCCAATACCAATCTATGAATTCCTCTTCAGACTCACAAAACACATGCAATGATGCCAAATGCAGGAAAATAACAGGCCAGTGGGTGGAAAGTCCTGTGGATCCAGTGGTGGTGTAAGCATCTCAGAGCTGGCATGGGTCTCCTTGTGGCTCCTCCAACTCCAGGGCTCTAGCATAGCTCCATGTGTCTTGTCAGCAAGAATACAAAGCAGAGAGAGTTTCTGTGTGCCCCATCACCAGCGAGCTATTTATCTCCCTGGTCCCTCCAAATGAGGTCATCAAGCTGTGACCTGATTGACAGGCTAGACTCTACCCCTTTGCAAGTAGACAAGAGATTAACTACCACAATGATATTCTCCTGTGAGAAAACAATATGAATTTCATTGCCCGATGTGTTAGTCTGGGTAGACTAGAGAAACAAATCCATGGACACATATATGTGTACAAGAAAGAGATTTATGTACAAGAGGACTTGAACATTGAGAAAGTATCCCAACTCAGTCCAATCCAAGTCTATAAGTCCGATACTAACCCATATGTCCAACACCAATCTATAAAGTCCTCTTCAGACTCATGAAACACATGCAATGATGCCAAATGCAGGATGATCACAGGCCAGTGGGTAGAAAGTCTTTGGATCCAGCAGCTCTGTAAGCATCTCAGCACTGGCAGGGGTCTCTACGTGGCTTCTCCAGCTTCAGAGGTCTGGTTGTATCAGGGTAAGTCCATGTGGCTTCTTCAACTTACAGCACTAGCATAGTTCCACATATCTTGTCAAGTGAAAGTCTCCCAGGGAGTGGCAGAGAGAGAGAGAGAGAGAGAGAGAGAGGTCTCCTGCCTCCAAGGAGGAAAAATCAGGATTTCCCAGAATTCTCAGGAGAAGGCCATGCCTACACAGAGGCCTCATTGGCTATGATCTGATTGACAGGCTAGACTCCACCCCTACACGCTTAATCCTTAAATAGACAATTATATAACTATGTGGGGTGTTTTTTTTGACATTTCTCCTGGCACCCCAGAGCATTTCATTGTTTCTTTTCCCACTCATTTCCTGGTTGGAAACTGATGGGACTAAGAGGGTGCACAGCCCAGTGCCGGGGAGGCCTGGATCCTTTGTTGGGCTTCACTATTCCAAAAAAGACACTTGGGGTTCATTTATTTATTGTGTGCATTGGTAAAATTGCATTATGTGTGTGCTGCATTATCGAGTGTGTTCTTTTTTATTGCTAAGTAGTATTACATTAAACAGACCCATTAATCACTGATTAAGGCACCCTGGCGGTGCCTTAGTTAAGAAGTTGGCTGCTGGGCGGAAGTGGACAATTTGAAACCCTGAAGTGAGACCAAGGGAGAAAACCCCCGGCAATCTGCTCCAGTAAAGATAACACCCTTGGAGAGCACTTGGGGGCCGTTCTACTCTGCCCTACAGGTCAGAGATGACGCAATGGCATACAACAACAATCCGTCATTGGTGGAAATTTCCACAAAACAAAAATCCATCATTGATGGAAATGTCCGTTGTTTCCAGTTACGACTCTTTCAACAAAATTAAACAATCTAGTACACACATTTTGTCTTGTTGGATTATGTTTTTTCCTAAGTTTTATGTTGTTGTAATGGAGAATGCATGTGGCAAAACCTAAAGCAAATCGACAGTTTCGGCATGTACAATCCCACGGCGTTGGTTACGTCCTTCACATTGTGCCGCCATGCTCAGGGCCTCTGGCCTGGAGCTGCTCCTGTCCAATCTTTAAAGTTGCTGCTATCAACTTACTGGCCTACAGATAGTACTTAAAAGAGCAGATGCTCAAGGCAGACTCTTTTTAACAAGTTAAGCTAAGCTGTGGTTTTAAGATGACTTCAGGGGACTTTTTAGGCTTAAAGAGTATCTCAGGGCTATCGTTTCAGGGATTCCTCAACTCTTCATGGCTCCAACAGGTCTAGAATTCATGAAAAACTGAGATTCTCTTCTGTATGTAGCCCCTTTGATGAGGATTTTTCTATGGACTCTTTCATCAAAATGTGCACTAGTTCTAGGTGGGCACAAAACATATTAGACCAATTAATTGGGATGTCACATGACCCTGAACTTCCAAACCAAGGAACCAAAACCCTTTAAGTATTTGAGTGCAAGTAAGCAACCTCAGCAGTTACTATCTACCTATGTGTCTGTCTATCTATCTGCTCATTTATTTTTGGTCGCTGTCTAAATTTTGACTCTTCATCTTTTTACAGGTGCACAACTAACTGACAACAATTACAGTAATCATTTGTGAGCCCTACTCTGATCAATGTGATTTTTCCATCATCATTTGTCCCCTTCATCCTGCCCCAGAGAATCACTAGTAAAGTTTGGTCTCTATACATTTGCCTCTTGCTGTCGTTTTATAAGTGAGGTCATACAATATTTGTTCTTTTGTGATTAATGTGTTTTACTCAGTATAATATCTTTAAGTGCCATCCATACTGTAACATGCGTCAAGCCTTCATTTCTTCTACTGGCTGAGTAGCATGGATGGAGGTAGCATACTTTATTCATCCTCTCATATGGTGATGGGCACTTCAGTTGTTTCCACCCTTGGCTATTGTGAATAGTACTGCAATGACTCTTTTTGAGTCTCTCCTTTCAGGTCTTTGGGGTACACACCCCAACCCACTGCCATCAAGACAATTCCAATTCATAGCATCCCAAGCCCAGCAAAGGTAAACAATTCTGCTTGCTGAAATCTGCTGGGTAGTCCTGCTCAGATAATCAGTAATTCCTGGCTCTGGAATCTCTAACAAATATATGAAGCCTTTAGTCCCTTAAAAAAATTAGCCTGTACGATGTATGAATAAAGCCCAATACATTAAAATGATAGGTTCTTGAAAACTTCACCTTGAAAGAAGCAACAAAGTATATTTTTTAATAGCTCGGTAAAAATCATGATTTGTAATTTAAACATGCCCTCTGCTGGGCAGTTCAAGTTCTGTAAGCTCATTTTGATCTTTCATACACATGAAAATGAAATTAATTCAAGGAGCTTTTTTTTTTTATCACGGATATAACCCCTCACTATGGCTGCACTACACTTTTAATATCTAGCCCACATTTGGTCAGTGTGCTGACTTTAGCCCGGTAATGAACTGCAGGAGAAACCAATTTCTAAATATTTGGGGATGGCTCAGTATCTGAAATTCAACCCCAAGGGGTTCATTGCTTTGGACTCCTATCTTAAAATGCAAATGACTTGAGGAAGGGGTGTCTCCTTGCCAAGTACCTGGCAAGTCCCCGGCAGCATGCAGAGAGGAGATGATGCTTACAATGAGGCCGAGGGTTCAGAAGGCAAAACTCAGTTTTCCTAGAATCCTGTCCGAGTGCAGGCCCTGATCACCTGCATACTGACATTTAATAACGAGCCCAAAAGGAGCAACAACTTTTACTTTCTGAAAAAAAATAAAATGTTTTTCCTGAAACTTAACACATGCTACATAGGATAAATGTTGTAGGGAGACTCTGGGTGACGTAAATGGTGAATGTCCTTAGATACCAGCCAAAGGCTGGACTTCTGACTCCACGGTGGCATCTAGGAAGAAAGACCTAGGCATCTAGGCAGAAAGATTTGCTTCTGAAAGATCAGCCACTGAAACCTGATGGCGCACAGAG